GCTGAGCCTCTTGGATTAACCAGATTAAAGGGAGTACTGGCGGGTATGCCAGGGTTTTCCTGGGGTCCAGTCTCCTCAGGGGCTGTTGCTAGAAAAAGTCGGGTCTTGCTTTCTGTATCCTCAAGGTAGGTTTAGGACTAGTGACTTTACCTCCCAGAAACTTCATTACCATAATGTGGGGGGTGTTCTTTCCTAATCTACATGCCTACATCTATAGGGGATGTTTTCTCATAATTTAGGTAGAGAGACTTTTAAGAAGATTAAAGATGAAACAACGTTTCTACTGGCAAGAAAGCTATGCCTTCAGTTCCTCCCATGCCCAAAGCCCAGAATGAATGTGCTCTAGAGCACATATCTTCCTCCACAGGTAATTTAATGTTCCCTACTGATGTCAATCTGGAGAGACACCCCCCTGCCAATCTCTTCCATATGACTCCACTTCAGTGCATCAGATGAAGGCAATGTGGATGATCAGTCAGCTGCCATCTCCTCAGACTATGATGTGAGAGTGGTTCTGTGAGGAGGCTGTTAATTTGATAAATGATTTCGTCAAATCGGGGCAAAATGACATTCAGCACCTCTGGACGTGCAGACAACGATCAATCACAACATTGAGCAACGATTGGACGCTTAACAGCTAGCACAGCTCTGGGTCCAGGGGCAGGTGAAAGTCTTGGAACAATAAATGATACTGGGTCTGGACTAGTTCCTCTTTCTGTGTCTCCCATAGATATTATGAGTCCTCACATACTTGGAACAACATTAGGTACCATTTTCAACGTTTAGAAGGAAATGTGCATCTTGATACTCTTGCCTTTCAGGATGAAATTGTCTAAGGATTTTTTAAAAAATACTAACAAGGGGCTAGAGCAATAGTACAGCAGGTAGGGCATTAGTTCGATCTCCAGCATCCCATATGGTCTGCTGAGCACCATCAGGAGTAATTAATGAGTGCAAAGCCAGGAGTAACCCCTGTGCATAGCTGGACGTGACCCAAAAAGAAAAAAACTCACAAGAATTCTATCCGAGAATTTCGCCCAGTGAATTACGGATGCAATACAGGGCAGAGACGGGAATTAGTGGTGGTAAAGCATCACCCAAGTCATTGGCAGCTGGATATGGCCTTATTTTTTTTTAATGTAGGGGTACTGCTATTTATTCAGCCACTGATTAGGCTGATTTAATTGTGCATGAACTCCACCTTACTTTTTTCCATTTTTTATAATTTTATTTATTAAATCACCATGAGAGCAGTTACGAAGCTTTTGGGTTTAAGTCTCAGTCATACAATGAAACACCCGTACCTTCACCGGTGCCCATTCTCCACCACCAAAAACCCCAGTATACCCCCATCCAACACCCTCCCCCTAGCTGTGAGGCAGATGATTTCCACATTATTCTCTCTCTACTTCGATTACATTCAATATTTTGACACCAGACCCCCCCATTATTATTTGAGATTTTACCCCAACACTCAGATCTGCTGAAAAGGCAACAGTAGACAATTTGTTTTATATTGCTGGTTATGAATAACATATGATGCCACACGGCTGCAGTAGTGGACACACAATTTTGAAATTCTGAAAATTTTTTTTCCCCTTTATTTTATTTTATTTTTTTTAAAGTTGTAGATTTACAATTTTTTGTGCTTTGGTTTCAATTATACAATGATCAGATACCCATCCCTCCACCAGTGCCCATTTTCCACCACCATGGATAATATCCCTCCCACCCCCATCCCCCCATCCCCCCTGTCTCTGTGGCAGGGCAATCCCCTGTGTTCTCTCTCTCCTTTTGGGTGTTGTGGTCTGCAAAAGAGGCATTGAGTGGCAAACATGTCCAGTCCATAGTCTACTTTCGACATGCATCTCCCCTCCTGGGAGGATCCTCCAAACATCCTTTATTTGGTGCTCCCTTCTCTATCTGAACTGCCCTTTCCTCTAGGATACCCGGCTGGCCTCTAAGTTATGGAGTAATCCTCCTGGTGCTGATCTCAGCTATTCTTGGGTATTAATCTCATACTTTGTTACTTTATATCCCCCAGATGAATGCAATCTTTCTATGTCTATCCCTCTCTTTCTGACTCATTTCGCTTAGCATGATACTTTCCATATTGTACCACTTGTATATAAATTTCATGACTTCATCTTTTCTAACAGCTACATAGTACTCCATTGTGTAGATGTACCAAAGTTTCTTTAACCAGTCATCTGTTCGTGGGCATTCAGGTTTCTTCCAGTTTCTGGCTATTGTAAAGAGTGCTGCAATGAACAAACAAGTGCAGATGTCACTTCGACTATACATTTTTGCCTCTCTGGGATATATTCCCAGGAGTGGTATTGCTGGGTCAAATGGGAGCTCAATTTCTAATTTTTTGAGAATCGTCCATACTGTTTTCCAGAAGGGCTGAACCAGTGGACATTCCCACCAGCAGTGAAGGAGTGTCCCTTTCTCGCCACATCCACGCCAGCATCGGTTGCTTTTGTTCTTTTGAATGTGGGCCAGTCTCTGAGGTGTGAGATGGTATCTCATTGTGGTTTTGATCTGCATCTCCCTGATGATTAATGATGTAGAGCATTTTCTCATGTGCTTTTTTGCCATTCGGATTTCTTCTTTGAGAAAGTTTCTGCTCATTTCATGAAATTCTGAAATTTTAACAATTAAATCTGGATGTATTTCTTGCCAAACTCTGCTGGGTTTCGAGATTTGTTTCTGAGTCTCTGGGATCATGGCTGTTAAGCAGCTTGATCAGGAGACAGAGAGGCCGTTCATGGGTGGCGACTCAGTGTCTTGTTGGGATGGGGAGGAAAGGGCCGGCTCCACACCCATCCCATGAGGCCCTGAGTGTCTCGTCACTGCGGGCCCAAACCTGACTGTCCAGTGGCCTCTGGATAATGGCAGCCACGCAACCTCCAAGGGGGAGCAGTCAGAGGGACAGCACCCTTTTCCCCCTGGGGTGGCCCGGCGACAGTAACCTACTGCGGGGTTCATACACATTTCTGCCAAAAGCTGCTGGGTTCCAAGATTTGTTTCTGAGTCTCTGGGGTCATGGCCATTAAGCAGCTTGATCAAGAGCCAGAGAGGCCATTTGTGGGCCGCAATTCGGGGTCTCTTTGCGCTGGGGAGGAAAGGGCTGGCTCCACCCCCATCCCTTGAAGTCCTGCATGTCTTGTCACTGCAGGCCCAAACCTGACTGTCCAGTGGCCTCTGGATGATGGCGGCCACCAGACCGCCAGAGGGAACAGGCCAAGGCACGAAACCTATTTCCACCTGGGGTGGCCCATTGCCGGTAACCTACTGCAGGGACCGGACATATTTCTGCCAAAAGCCACTGGGTTCCAAGATTCGTTTCGGAGTCTCTGTGATCATGGACATTATGTGACTTGATCAGGAGCCAAAGAGGCCGTTTGTTGGTGACGACTCGGGGTCTTGTTGGGACAGGGGGGAAAGGGGTTATGGCCTTACTTATCATGTTTGTTTTATTGATTCTAGGATTCTGCCTCCTATGGTGAATACTAGCCAAAGCTGAGAGCATGACCCACAAGGCCATTTTCAATTTCTTGTGTTTGAGAAACAGAAAAAGGGGAGATATTGGATTCCCCACTGACACTGTTTCCAAGCCATCCAGATGGTGCTATCCTGTGGATTAAATACCTGGGTATTCTCCTTGAGGCAAGAGAGTTTCAGAGACAAACTTCAGAGATGGCAAAGGGCAGTACCAAAAGGGGCACCAGCTCTCCATAATTTGTAAATTGCTGTGGCTAACCCTAGCCCCTCTTTTATAAGCACTTCATCTTGACTATGGTCTATTCTCCTGCCTTGCTTGGACATTCTGTTAAGTGCCTTTCTTGCCACTCTCTTTTCCCACCCATTGCTGTGCTTCTGTGACACATTGCATCTCCAGGAATGCTCACAATTTCCTGTATTTGTGTTAAACAACTTTGTCCTGTACTTCCCCAGCATAGTTTCCCAATCTATCCCTGTCCCCCACTCTTTAGCGGTTCCTCTTCCCTATATTAGCTCTGTTGAATTTTCAAAAAACGGTTGTTGCACCTACAGCCTGTTCTTAGGTCTCTCTGCCAGGGAATGCCTATCAGCCCTGAACACTGGATATGGACGCTGCGGTTTGCTTAGAATCTCCGAGACTCTAATGTGATATCATCCTATAACCAATAGGGACTGTGGGCTTGGTCATGGTGTGTATTTAAAATCAGCAAATGCCTCACATCAGAATTTTCTGAAGCGTTTCTGGGCAAGCAGCACACCACCAGCCTGCTCTGTCACAGTGATGGAGTCCCAAGGGGACATTTCTGGGAAAGTCACGGTGTCGGTGTCACTGATGAAGAAAGGACAGGAAAGTCCATGGTGAAGGGAGCCCTTGCTCTCCTTGAATCTCTGGGGATCTGGGAATACCTCACCATCTTCAGGGAGCACCAGGGCCTTTCTGCATCTAGGAACATCCCACTGTGCTCAGGGAACACAGGGCTAATGACAGCATTGCTGGGAGATATGAGTGTTTGACTGTGGGACTGAGCTGTGGTGTCACACTCTAAGACCCCGCCCTTTTGTACCTCAAGGCAGTGAACTGAACTCACAGGCTAGTTATGGCCTTTGATGAAGCTGCTGAGGCCAGAGCAAGTGTGTGAACTGGAGACAGACACATCAGTGAATGCACATCAGGAATTTCTGATACCAGACACCTTTCTGCAAGAAAGGAGGTGGGTGGGACATTTGCAAGAGTCACCTTGGGGGGTTCCCCCTCATCCTGAGGAAGATGAAGCAAGGAGACAATTCAGGAAGCCACTGAGGCAGGAGGGGATACCCCTAACGAGCAGAGCATAACCGGGATCCAGGCCCTTTTCATCCAGCCCCACAGACAGCCTCACAGCTCTCAGTGGCATCACCAACTCATTCCTCACTGCCTGTGGCCATCCGGGTCCCAAGGCTCTGCCTCCTCAAGCTCCTGTCCCCACTTGTTGCGTCCTGACAGTCTCCGTGACCTTCCCTGGATGAGATGAACCTTGAGGAGCAGAATCCTGAGAAGCAGCAGTACCACAGCTCCCACAAGCATCCGGCTGACATTCTCCACCATGTAGTCTAGTGAGTGGGCTGGTGACAGGGGAGGGTCTTGAGGGGACAGAGCCAGGAGTGAACCACCCCAGAGCTCCCTTCCCTGAACAGGAAATGCCTGCATGCCCCCTCCTGAGAGTTCCTACTCACCATTGCTGGAATCCAGATTGTCCTGAGCTGTGCTCCTGGTGGTAGCTGCTTCTGAGAATGGTCAGTGGGGGCTGAGGAGGTTCTGCAGATCTCAGAGGCATTCCCCAGGGCTCTTCTCCTGAGGGCCCATAGGCTTCCTCTCCTCCTTAGCTCCCCTTGTGCTCCCTTTGGGCTCCCTCAGCCTCCCTATATGTCTGGATTCAATCCTACCTGAGTCACTTTGGAGTCCAGATATGTTGTGAGGTGAGACGGGACAAGTGCTTGGGCTTTGGCCCCTCTGTCCTGTACTGTCCCCAGAGAACACTGTCCCCACACTCTAGACCAGAACCCCCCATACTCCCTCACCCCACTTGCATACACATGCCCACCTTGGGGAAAGACCCCAATAATCCCATGTAGCTGCAAAGCCTGGATGAGACCATGAGGGCTCACCTGAGACCAGGAGCTTCAGAGGGTCGCTGGGCTGAGACCACACCAGAGAGTCGAGAAAATGCCCATAACACTGAAATGTCCAGCTGCGACCGGGGGTCACAGGCCCCACTGAGAACAGGGCCTGGAACTGCCCAGTGGGGTGTGGCTGTGACTTCAGGTATGAGGACTGAGGCTCTCCCTCCTGAGCCAGAACAAATCCATGGAATCTCTCTGAGGAGCCGCACTGGAGGGTCACGTTCACTCCTGAGGCTACCACGGGGTTTGGCAGGACAGAAAGGAATGGTTTGCTGTAGACTCCTAAAAGGGGACAGGAGTTACAGGCTCACACCTGACCCTACTGAGTGCAGACACCCCTGAGTGCAGCACCTGTGAGTCTCACCTGTGACCACCAGAGATACATAGTCGCTATAGTCTGAGCACCTCGACAGCCTGCACTGCTTACATCTGTACGTCCCCACATCGTCCTGTCCTGTACTGTCCATGTGAACCTGGGCCTTGTCCTTCGATGCCAGTAACATTTCTGTTTCGGTGATAGCCGATACATCTTCCCAGAATTTCGCAAGGTACTTCTGGGTCCCTGGTGTGCCCTGACACCAGAGGGTCACGGGACTCCCCTGGGGAATCACAGAGCCTGGCTCAGCCCAGAGGGTGGGTCTGGGGAGGGTCCCTGGAAAGAAGCAGAAGCTGGTCACAGACATTCCCACCCCAGTTCCAGCTGTCAGTCTATGATCCCCTACAACCCCCTAACCATACCCGACAATTTCTGTTTCCATCCCAGTTGTAGGATATGTCTTAGGGACCCCTGGGACCTTGTGACTCCCTTACCTGCCTGCACGGGGGTCCCGGTGCCCAGACTCAGCCCTGGAAGAGAGACCCTGTGAGAGTCTGTCCTGACTCTGAGGAAACTCGTCCCAGGGCCCCCTGAATCCTGCGTCCCCTGACTCTGGGTCCCTCAGGCTCGGGTCCCCCTTGCAGACTCACCCAGACAGATCAGGACTGTGAGGAGGGTCATGGCGTCTTTTTCTGTCCCAGCTATAGGGAAACTTGGTGCCCTACAGGACAGACATTGGGTGTGTCCTCGGAGCTGGTCCTGCCTGTCACAGGACGTGACATCAGGCCCTCAGGAAGGAGAACTTTCTCTGTCTATCTCCTCTCTGTCACTCAGTGATAACAACCCGCACACCACAACTGTGCTCAGGACTGATCTTGTCTGTGATGTGAAGGGATGAGGCAGTGCTCACATGACAGACAGAGATTCTGGAGGCTGATGGAGATGAGGGCTTTGAGTACTGGAGCAGGAGCAGACAGAGCACTGTGTAGGCATCGACTGACAGAGACAGATCCCTATAAGCATGGCCCATAGGTGCTGTCAGTGCTCCATGTGGCACCATGACCCTGTGGAGATGTTTGTATCTGTGCCTGCCTGTGTCCCTGTCCAGCAGTCACCATCAGGGGCGGCACATGGAAGAGGAGGAGACTATTTTTTTTTTATTTTTATTAGTGAAACACCATGAGGTACAGTTGTAGACTTACAAATTTTTGTGCTTGGGTTTCGAGTATACAATGATCAAATACCCATCCCTCCACCAGTGCCCATTTTCCACCACCATGGATCCCAGTATCCCTCCCACCCCCATCCCCCCATTCCACCCTGCCTCTGTGGCAGGGCATTCCCTTTTGTTCTCTCTCTCCTTTTGGGTGTTGTGGTCTGAAAAAAGAGGTATTGAGTGGCAATCATGTTCGGTCCATAGTCTACTTTCAACATGCATGTCCCATCCTGGGAGGATCCTCCAAACACTCTTTATTTGGTGCTCCCTTCTCTATCTGAGGTGCCCTTTCCCCTAAGAATGCCCGGCTGGCCTCTAAGCCATGGAGTAATCCTCCTGGTACTGATCTCGGCTATTCTTGGGTATTAATCTCCCATTTTGTTACTTTATGTCCCCCAGATGAATGCAATCTTTTTATGTCTATCCCTCTCTTTCTGACTCATTTCGCTTAGCATGATACTTTCCATGTAGTACCACTTGTATGTAAATTTCATGATTTCATCTTTTCTAACAGCTACATAGTACGAGGAGACTATTTTTATCCTGTGTGAGACACAAGTTTCTTCCTCTGACATATCCCAGGACCCTGGAGACACAGGGACATTGGAATTAGCTGGAGTGGCATACTTTTCCTTGCAGAGTCCAGTGAGAGAGTGAGAAGGAGCTGCACTTCAGCATTCATGGGAGAGATTTTGTGATGTGGCACAGGGAACATTCCAGATGCTTCTGTAGATGCTCAGGACAGATTCTGTACTAGAAAGTGAGGAACTGGAGCAGCTGCCCCTGGCCACAGCATAGTTCAGACATGGGATGTACTTGGTCTCTGTACCCTGCACGTTCAGGTGCCTGACACCCTCCCACACAGACCCGAGCCCCACAATTCATTCTCTGCTCCCCCAACCTTCGTTCCCTCTGCTTTGTTCTCAGATGTGAATGCCAGTCCCCAGGGTTTGTGCCTGTGTGGTACCATCCATTCTCTCATTTTCTCTCTTATTGCACAGATGCATGTGGATAGAACTTGGCTCTTTTCCTTTGACTTAGTTCATGTAACATGGCAATATCTGACAGCAGGTTCTTCAGGTGTTTGGGTCTGACTTTGTCTGGGCTGGGTTCTGTTCGCTTCTTTACCAACAAAATGGCGTGTCGAATTTCAGAAGGGAGAACATTGGGAACAACATACCCATCCCGAGGAATTTGGTATGTGGGTAGGTGGATGTGGCTATAGAAGAGATCCTAGTAGAAGTCAGATAATCTTCTCCATTGCCCTTCTGGAAGATGTGATACATCAGGATGTCGGAGGGCAGTCATCTTGGTCTTGTAGTTGGGGAAGGACAGGTGGGCATTGTGAATGCTTTTCCTGACTTCTGCCATATGGGCCAGCACTGCTGTTCTTCTCTCTTTGAGGTCCTCCTTGATAACTTCTCTGCACTGCTCTGCAAGCTCAGACATTCACTTGCAGTTGCCTGAGGCTTGCGCCAAGCCACGTTGGTGAATGAGCTTGAAAGTTTTCGAGGACAGGTGTTTTTGTGGCTATCTCTCTCTTAGCATTACTCACACAATCATGGAGGTGCTGAACCAGTTAATCGTATTCTTCATCAATGTTGTCAACGACAGCATCTTCCCATGTTGCTGCAATAGTGCCAAAGAGCTCCCAGTTGGTGGTAATTCTGGGAGTTCTCAAACTTTGCAGGCCTTTCTTCCTGCTCTGTGAAGTAGAATTTTGCATGAAGGAGACGGTGGTCTGATCCCGTTTGAATTTTGGGACAGCAGCAACATCAGTGAGGCAAAATCATTGATTGAAGATGATGTGATCAATTTCATTGTGGAACCGTCCACTAGAAGATTCCCATGTCCAATGTTTAGATTTGGCCTTCTGGAACTGTGAGTTACCATGGACGGTCTTGGTCAACATGATGAACTCAGTCTCTCACTCTATTTGTTCCATTATGGGCCATAGGTCAAGTGTAATAGTCCGATTTGGGTTGTTAGGCATTCAAATGAATTAATGCTCATGGCCAAGTTGCCAAGTTCATGTTGACAAGAACTGACACAACCGACGCCTTTTTTGTCGCATGTTCCAAGGAACAGTTCTTCTCCAGTGTCGAAAATGGCATGATGTGGTTGATGTCTTCTCGTCTCAGTCAGACCAATGATGTCGTACTTGATCTTTCAAGCTTGCACTCTCAGGTCTTCAATGGATCCATCCAATGCCAGTGTAAGTGCATTGAAAGTACAGATAGTCATTTTTTGTCCTTCTTTAGCTAAGACGAAGAACCTCCAGCTCCAGGCACATCTCTTTGATTCCACTGTTCTTTCTGCATTAACATACGCTTCAGAGATCTGGGCCCTACGAAAATAGGATGAGAACGCTATTCGGGTCTCCCAAAGAGGAGTTGAAAGAGCTATGCTTAGAGTATCACGCTTCACTCAAGTGAGAGAAAGAATCTGGAGTTCCGACCTCTGTCGATAATCAAGAATCAGGGACGCTGTCTCATTTGCCAAGACGTCGAAAATCAGATGGGCTGGACACATAATGCGATTTGGAGATGACCGCTGGACTAGAGCCATTACCGACTGGATTCCATGGGATGTCAAAAGATCGCGGGCCACCCACCTACGAGATGGTCAGACTTCTTCATCAAGACCTTGAACAATCGGTTTGAGGCTCTTTGTGTTCCTGGAGCGAGCAGATGTCATTGGGCTACACTAGCAAGCAACAGGGACGAATGGAGACATTACTGGCGCCCGCTTGAGCAGATCGATGAGTAACAGGATGTCAAGTGATCAAGTGATCAAGTGATGACAATATCTGGTTATGTCTGCTTGACATAAAATGACATTATTTCCTCTTTTCTTACAGCTGCATAGTATTCCATTGTGTCTATAGACTCTTAACTTCTCTGTCTGTCATAGGATGTTTGACTTCTGTACATAGTTTGGCCTTTAACCACGCCTCACAATGGACAAAGGTGTGCATACATCTTGTACAATACACATTTGTATTTGGGACATAGATGCCAAGAAATGACCCAGATGGATCTATGGGAAGTTCTATGCTTCCTTGTTTGGAGAAATTTCCCTGCAATGTCTATGGAGTTGTGGAAGATGCACCCACCATAGGGAAGAGTTTCCTGTTCCCCCAGCTCTTCAACACTTCCAAATTTTTGGTGTGACCCATTCTCATTAGCATTTGGTGATGTGAGCTCACTGTTGTTTGGATTTGCGTTCCTGTGACTCAGTCACATTCTAATGCCCCACTGAGCATCTGTGGACAGGGCTTGTCCATCATCCCTATGTGCTGTCTGTCTGTCCTGAACTCTCCTCATGCCCCCTTTCTTCAGGCACTGATCCAGGCTGTCAGTCAAAGATCACTCTCACTGGCGAGGCCCTGCGTCTTGTGTCTGTTTGGGCTGCCCTGATTATAAAGGATGGAGCTTTTCTCTCCTGAGCATCTTTAACATCTTATATCTTCTTTTAGTTTATGTTTGCTTTCAGACACCCCCGGTGGTGCTAGTTTACCCGTAGGAATTCCTCCTGGAGGTGACCATCTAGGATGTCTAGGCTCAAACCCTGTTATGTCATGTGCAGAGACAGTGCTCTCCCCACTGTCCAGTGGTCCTGACTCCTGTGCTGTCCATTGTGCTGTCCATTGTGTTTTGTTGTTGTGTTAAGCCAGGCCAAGATCCGACCAAAGGAGTCACATGAAGATGGATTGCAATGCAACAAGCAAAAGGCCTTATTGGCTAGCTCGATGTAGGACCCCCGTCCAGCTCCAAAACAGAGGCAGATTTCTCAGAACAAGCGACTCTGAGTCTCAAAAAGTGAGAGGTTTTATACCATAACATTATATAATAGGGACTTTATGTGGACCATCCTTCTGATCAAAGTCTGAGGGGCTTTCCACTATTTGTACTTAGTTGACTGGTTATAAGTCAGAGTTACTTATAATTTACATAAGGGTTCCACAAGGAGGGCTTTTGTACCTGCATCTGATTGGTAACTCTAGTTGACCTCATCGTGGAAATTCACTTTGGGGAAATCATGACTCAATTCCAAGAATCTGCACTCAATTCCAGGAATTCTGAAACCAAAACCTAGGCCTAGCTTCTTCTAGTTCCTTTATTGAGCCTGTCATGACACTGCCGTTGCTTCTCTATCTCTCAGTTGATGATTAGTGTGCCCTGGACAGAGCCTTTGTCAGCGTGTGAGAGGAATGTCCCCCTCCCTCACTGCCCTGTGCCCTGAGCAGAGACGACGCTGCTCTGATCCTCAGTTTCCCTGACTCCCGCTGCAATGACTCCACACTCATGGGAGTTGGTCACTGGTGTAGGATCCAGAGGGACAGATCTGGGTCATCAGAGCAGGTGACAATGTCAGTGTGGATGAAGGCAGGAAGTGGGTCCTACTAACCAAGGTCTTGCTGCAGCCACCAGAGCCCAAGCTTTCCCACACACTGACCGATGTC